TCTTTTAATGCAGGGTGCTTGGCCTCCATGTGGTGAAGCAGTTTTGAAGGTTTCATGGCTTCATTGGATAGCCAGTCGCCACATATTCCAGGGGTGTCTAACCTGCAGCCCATGGGCTGCACGTGGCTCAGGATGGCTATGAATGTAGCCCAACACAAAATCGTAAATTTACTTAAAACATTTTGAGCCCTGGCTGGCGTAGCTCAGTGGATTGAGCCTGGGCTGCAAACCAAAGTGTTGCAGGTTCGATTCCCAGTCAGGGTACATGCCTGGGTTGCAGGCCATGACCCCCAGCAACCACACATGGGTGTTTCTCTCTCTCTATCTCCCTCCCTTCCCTCTCTAAAAATAAATAAATAAATAAAACATTTTGAGCCTTTTGTGTGTGATTACATGACACAGTGTATTTAATGTGTGGCCCAAGACAACTCTTCTTCCAGTGTGGCCCAGAGACACCACAAGTTTAGACAGCCCTGTAAGTGGGCTTGGAGAATGTGAATCATCTGTTGCAGTGAACCCGTAATTTAAGTAGGACTCTTGGTATTTTCTTTTAAGTGCAGCTTTCTTTTTGTTGGCCGTCTTAGAGTCTTCCGCTATCTCATAATTGGTTCTTTCCCCTTTTTTCAAAGAATCCCTATAGCAATGTTTGTTTTTTTACTCATTTTGGCTAGGGTTAGCTTGTGGGCTTACCGAAACTGTGACTGAGACAAGTGAGCAGTGTGGGAAAGAAGCCTGGACAGAAATGGTAAATAAAATGATGGACGGGCCATGCGTGAACTAAAATAAGTGTTCGATTCTGACGTAAAGCCTGCCACCAGATGCAGCTGCACAATTGAAGTACATCGACTCAGTTGCCACTATACGGCCTGCCACCAGATGCAGCTTAGTTGTCACTTGCCACTCACTGTGAGGGTTTTGATATGAGTCTGCAGGCACTTGATTTATTATGGTCTTGGTGCAGTCAAACCTCTCTGTTAATGATAAATCTGTACTTGCAGCCACTCTCCAGCACTAGCCTCATTGTCTCCTTAAGTGATCAGGCATTAGATTCTCATAAAGACTGGGCAACCTAGATCCCTTGCTTGCACAGCTCACAGTAGGGTTTGTTCTTCTATGAGAATCTACTGCTGCTGATGATCTGACAGGAGGCAGAGCTCACGTGGCAATGCAAGCAACGGGGAGCCGCTGTAAGCACAGAAGCAGCTTCGATCACTAACATGCCCCTCACTTCCTGTGCAGCCAGTTCCTAACAGGCCACGGACCGGACCGACCAGTACCGAGGGTTGAGGACCCCTGTTTTAGATGGTCCTAAAATCCAATCCTATCTAATTCCCAAGTCCCACGACTGCTGACTATGGCTGTCTTCCTAGAAGCCTTCCCTCGTCCTCTTTGTCGTGAGCCAACCCTCCCCCCAAGGTCTGCCCCATCTATGTGGTTTCCCACAGTCACCATGCACAGCTGTTCTTGTTGGGCACTGCATGAGAGCACTATACCCAAGGAGGTTCCATTCACATCACAGACATCTTCATTATTTTGGAAACAATTTTTTGATATCTTTGTATAGCGTGTTCCTCTGTTGCTGACTATAGGGACTTCTAACTTATTGCAACAGTGTTCCAGCAGGTGGCAGTCAAGTGTCTTATTCCAACAGGGTTGGTAGCTACCATTCCTCTTCCACTGACCAAAGAGAAATCAATTTGAAAATGGGAAGACCTTGCCAATCTCATATCATCTAAAAATAGCCCGTGCCTCTAAACAAGGAACTGCTTTTCCACCTGATACACAGAGCATCTTTTAAAAAAATTCCTATTAGTATCCATTCATTGGTTGCATTCAATATTTCATACTACAGGTCATATTTTCTGCTATTATTTACTGTAAAAGGCCAGAAGTAACTAAATTCTGAATTTAAAATCACATATCCTTTCACTTGGCTCACATCATTAGGTGATAGCTAGTGTACAATTACCATCGGTAATCCACAAAGAATGTAGGTGGGTGGAAATTAGAGAGTATTATGCAATATTCTAATTATATTATTATAGAGGTTGTTTATTATTGCTCTAGCAATTTCAGCACTATAAAATCAACTATTATTAAAAGGTAATGACATGTTACATACATATTTTAAGATGTTAAAATTCTAAAATAAAACATTAATCCTAGTTGACACTTATAAAAAGGATAAATAATCAGAAAATGGAAAAAGCTACTACAAAACCAATTAGGTAATTGAATAAACTGTTGTGAAAAATAAGGCAGGGGAGGATTTTCCACGGCTGTTGTTTCAAACGGATGTAGATGAATCCAGATGTGTTCATGATGGACTTGAATTTACCTTCCACCTCCACAGAAATCATGAAGGAAAATTTATAAGAAATTACTAGGAGAGGGGGAAATAAAGGAGCCTTTTATTAAATAATCTTTTTGCCAATCCAGGTACCCAGCCATCTGATCTGAATATTAGACTCTAAAATTTAAACTCTTAAAATTTGAATTACTTGGATATCCAACTCAAATTTAAACTCTGAAAAATGATTCACTTTCAGTAAGAGCATGGAACTTCCAAAAGACTACAATGACAACCAAAATTTTGTTTCACCAAATTCTACCAACTGGGGAATAAATGATCAGATTCAGGCAGCTTTATTCCACCTCAAAGGATCCTGTAGTTAATCTTCATTTCAAACTCTGGACATGGAACGAAATACTGAGAAGGACAATGAGTAGAGTGTGGTGGGTGCTGTGGTTTGCCACCAAGATTTGTTCTCGGCTGCGGGCCCCTTGGGCACAGCCTCAGCTACTGACTCTCAGGCCGAGCCCCGCTGGGGTGAACTGAGCCCTCTTCGGGCCTGAATCAGCCCACCTTCTCCCTCTGCCCTGTCCTGCTTCCTTTGCTTCCTCCCACAGCCCTGCATACTAATCTCCACCCTAGTCTTGCCTCCCAGTGACCACACACAGATTGGCAGCTTTGATCCCATGTGTGAAAATAAGAAGGTGAGGGACTTATCCACAATTGTATGCAATATCAGGATTATATTAGCAAACATTAGCAAAGCTAGGATTGGAAAATGCAAGGTCCTGAACAGATGTTTGTATACCCATGTACATTGTACATTATGCACAACAGCCAAGAGGTGGGAGCAATGCATGTGTACATCGGCAGATGGATGAATGAATAAACAAAATGTGGTATGTCCATACAACGGAATATCATCCAACGTTTAAAAGGAAGGGCATTTTGACATATGTTACAACATGGATGAACTTTGAAGACATGCAGCTAAATGAAACAAGCCAGTCATAAAAGGGTAGATGTTGTGTGATTCCACTTATGCAAGGTATCTAGAATAGTCAAACTCATGGAAACACAAAGGAGAATGATAGTGGTTGCTGGGGCGTAAGGGGAGGGAATAGAAAAAGTTATTTTTTAATGGGTCTGCAATTTCAGTTTTGCAGGAAGAAAAAGTTCTAGAGATTGGCTGCACAGTAATATGAATATATTTAAGACTACTGAATGGTAAAAAAATTAAAATCTGATCTGAAAAAGAAATATTGGTGTTGTAAGCAGTGTTTATGTGAAAACAACAAAAGAAAATATTGGTGCACAATATACACACTTCAGTTTTGGCAAGGCAGTGGCCAGACTTCCAGGAGAAAATTCCACAATTCTGGTTACTTGTAAAAAGCAAAAGTTTATTCAGAACATTAAGATTGACATCATCGAGGGGGTGACATAAAAAAACAGAGGCCATTGCAATTACTGAATGTTTGATTAATGGACTTATTTCAGATAAAGTAAGGAATACTAAGTGTTTCTCAATTATTTTGTCTTCAGAACCTGTTTGTAGTTAACGAGTCAGTTAACAAGCATTGCTGGATGGACAGATTTCTGGATTGTACCTATTCCTGTGTATAAACTGGAGGGAATACTGTCCAGTGAATGATATAACTGGAGACAGATGATGTGCACACTCAGGAAACTGCTTACATAAACCAAATCTGGAAAAAATTTCAGAGATCAGGTATTTTTTTTAAGTGTGTGGAAATGGAAAGATGCATGGAAGTTTCTGGAATACATCAGAAGACCCTTGAGAGAATTCTAAGGCATTCAGGTAGACTCATCTGGCCACCCAAACACCGGGCAGATGAGGATGTCCAGACAGAGGCTCCAGCAGGTGGTTGGCTCTGGGGCAGAGACTGTACAGAAAACCTCCTTAATTGACTCCTTTCTCTCTTCTTGGAGGAGCAAACCCTTGTTCTGCACATTGGTCATACTGGATAACGACCAAGCAGCCAAAATTTCTTTCTATACCACTGAATGTTTAAATATGCAAGCACTCTACAGCTACCCTTTAGCTCCTAATAAATGTTGGAATAAATATTGAAAACACATTTGTAACAAGAAGCTGGTCTGGCTGCCTGCCACTACAAAAGCCAATACTGGAGAAGCAGGTGCTGATGTAAAGGAAAGTGGTTTATTCAGATGCCAGCCACCAGGGACATGGGGGACTCATGTCTCAAAGCCCATGTCCATCTCTCAGTGCAGAGGTTTTATAAGGAAGGAGAGGGGAACAGAACCTAGAGATAAAGGGAGCGGGTTGAAAAGTTCTCTATGTGCAGACAAACAGTCTGTTTCGATAAGGCAGGCGATGACCCAGCGTGCATCATCCTGGTTTAGTAACTGCTGGGTTCACGGCACCCTGACTCTGTGTCATCCTGCCTCCATGGTAGAAGGTCAGCAGATCTCCGGGAGCTGGGATGTCTGAAGGTCGGAGTCCTTATCTTCTGAAGTGAGTTCCTAGAGTTCTCTCTCTTCTTTTATTTTTTTAAGAATTCTTACTTTTTTAATTTAAAAACTTTGTTGTTCAATTACAATTGTCTTCATTTTCCCCCCATCTCTTCTCTCCACCCCAAGTTCCTAGGACTCTTATAATAAACATGCCCTCCATCTACAAGCTACATGTTAGTCAGAGTCAGCACTTATAGAAACAGTGTCAATGAATGGTGAGGTGGGTTACAAGTTCTCACCACTACAATTTTCCACTGTTACACATTTATCAAAAATAAATCTGAGACTGTTCAATATGAAAAGAGAACATTGGCTAAGAATTCAGTTCGAGCCCTGGTGGGATTCTGTCCTGCGTGTCTGTTCCATGGAACCGAACTTGTTTATCTCCGTCTGCCTTCTCTCCCACCTGAGTGTGTGCTGCCACCCACGGAAGACCCAGCAGAGGTGGATATGAGCCCTCTGCAGCCCAGAACTGTCTTTTCAGTTGTGAACTCAAAGCTGACAAAGATGATCACTTTAAGGTGGATAATGATGAAAATGAGCACCTGTTATCTTAACAGTCAGTTTAGGGGCTGGTACAAGGATGAATTGCACATTGTTGAAGCAGAGGCAATGAATTATGAAGGCAGGCCTATTAAAGTAACACTGGCAACTTTGAAAATGTCTGTATAGCCAATGGTTTCCCTTGGTGGCTTTGAAATAACACCACCTGTGGCCTTAGGTTGAAGTGTGGTTCAGGGCCTGAGCATATGAGTGGACAGCACTTCATAGCTGTAGGGGAAGATGCAGAGTCAGAAGATGAAGAGGAGGAAGATGTGAAACTCCTAAGTATGTCTGGGAAGCATTCTGCCCATGAAAGTGGTAGCAAGCTTCCACAGAAAAAGGTAAAACTTGCAGCTGATGATGATGAAGAGGAGGCGGAGGAGGAAGAGGAAGATGATGATTTTGAGGATGAGGAAGCTAAAGAAAAAGCTCCAGTAAGAAATCTATATGAAATACTCCAGCCAAAAATGCACATAAATCAAACCAGAATGTAAAAAACTCAAAACCCTCAACGCCAAGATCAAAAGGTCAAGAATCCTTCAAAAAGCAGGAAAAAATTCCTAAAACACCAGAAGGGCCTAGTTCTGTAGAAGACAGTAGAGCAAAACTGCAAGCAAGTGTAGAAAAGGACGGTTCACTCCCCACAGTGGAAGCTAAGTTCATCAGTTATGTGAAGAATTGCTTCCGGATGATGGAGCAGGAAGCCATTCAAGATCTCTGGCCACAAGAGAAGTCTCTTTAAGAAAATAGTTTAAGTGGTTTGTTAAAATTATCTGTCTTATTTCACTTCTGTAACATTTGTTATCTGGCTGCCCTTTTACAACGCAGAGTGAGAACTTTCCCTACCGTGTCTGATAAATGTTGTCCAGGTTCCAGTGCTAAGAATGTGTTGCCCAAAATGCCTGTTTAGTTTTTAAAGGTGGAACTCCACCCTTTGCTGGGCTTTAAGTCTGTACGGAATGTTATGATAGGACATAGTAGTGGTGGTGGTCAGATCATTGGAAATAGTGGGGAGACAAAAATATACATGTGAAATGAACTCAGTACTTTAATAAAAAAAGAATTCAACTCATGGTTGTGAGTGATACCCTTTTAGAAATTGTTCATGGCATTCATAAGGATTTGCATCTTAGAACATAAACCAAATTTATACTTTGAAAATCAAATGATTTTCAAAGTGTTTTAAATAATGTTTTAAGGGAAATTAATATTTTGAGCAAAATAATGCGGGGACCCAATTCAGTGCCCTGATCAGCACCAAAAGGGGGAAGAGGAGCACAAGATCAGCAAAACACTAAAAACTGTTGAATCGAAGCTCTGGCCAGGTAGTTCAGTTGGATAGAGCATCCTCCCCATACACCAAAGTTGGGGGTTCAATCCCTGGTCAGTGCACATACAAGAATAAACCAATGAGTTAATTGATAGATGGAATTAACAAATCGATGTTTCTCTCTCTCTTCCTCACTCTCTCTCTAAAATCAATTTTAAAAAATGAGACTTGCGGTCAGGATGGTGACATAGGTAAACACGACTCATCTCCTCACATAAACACATCAAAATTGCAATTAAATTATAGAACAACCATCACTCAGAACCTTCAGAAATTGAATTAAATGGAAGTCTGATATCTATGGAATTAAAGAAACCACATCCACCCAGACTGGCAGGAGGGGCAGAGACATGAAATGGGCTGGTCCCACATCTACCTGTGGTGGATAAAAATATGGGAGGGCAATCTTGGGAGCCAGGAGTCACAGCCCAGGGTACTGGTGCCAGGAAGATAAGTCCCCATAACTTCTGGCTGCAAAAAACCAGCATGGATTGAGCCAGAAGAAACTTCTGTAGTTCCAAGCAGTTCCTCTTAAAGAATGCACATATGAACTTACTCAGACTCACTCCCTCTGAGCTCCAGCACCAGGGTAGCAGCTTGAAAGGCACCAGTGGCATACAGAGAGGAACTGAAGTGTCTGGCATCAAGGTGAGAGTTGGGGGACAGCCTTCTCCCAGACAGAAAGGCAGGCAGAGTCCCAGAGCTGGCAGGCTGGTACCATATCTGAAACTCCATCGACCTGGCCAACACTTGCCCTGCCCTGGAAATGCCCTGAGGCTTCATCCTATCCAACTTACAGCTGTTAGTAGCTTTTCTGTATGAAAAGGCTTGTCTTAGATTAAGCTTCACAACTTCCTAAATCCTTTCCAACAAATAACAGCTTGCTTCAATGAGTCCCCAGTACCTCACCCCCGCCCTGCACAACCCCTCTTAAGTGGCCCCAGGCAGGACACGAGTAGCAGTTAGCCTAGATTGAGAACCTGGCTTCACCTGGGAGTCTCCAAGCCCAGCACAAGTAGCAGCCATCTCAGATTGTTCTATAGCTCAGGCAGGGTGGCTCCAGGCAAAACACAGGAGGGGGTTGACCTTGGCATGCTTCACCTGGGGAACCCCAGGGCCTGCACACCCAGTGTACAGCTATAAACCACATCAGAGCACTACCACACTGTCCTGCATAGCTGATTTTCCACGTAGGGCAAACGATGGTCAGTGGTCACAGCTAGTCCTTGCAACTGACTGGCCTGGGTAAAACCCTTCCATCAACCTGCCAAAAGCAATCAAGGCTCAATTACAAGAGGGAGGAATACTCAGCCCACACTAAGGGTGCACCTCAAGTACCCAGCTTGGGTGATGAGGGAGGCCGTGCCATTGGACCCTACAAGACACCTACTACGTTACATCATGCTATGAAGACAGGCAGTCACAGCAACTCTACCTAATACATAGAAACAAGCAGAGAGGCTGCCAAAATGAAGAGACAAAGAAACATGGCCCAGGTTCTGGCCAAGATGTAGGCATAGGTAGAAACCCTTCACTTCCTCACACAACCAAAAGGAGGATAACAACCAATCTAAAATCAATAAACAACCAGAAGCACTAGAAAATCAAACAGCACAGAACTCCGACAACCAAGGAATTAAAGAAAAAATCAAGCAGAACAACCAAACCAGTAAGGCGGCAGACCTCTTGGGCTAGACCAGGCCGACCTAGAAAAACCACGGCGAGGTGGCAGACTGGGCAAGCAGGGCCACCTGAAGGCGAAACTGAGCCTCAGAGCTGACTGTGGGCCAAATGGGGGGGTTGCCATGGTGGGAGAAACTCCCATTCTCACATGAGAGTCCTTTGGAAAGTGCACTAGAGATGAGCAGACGAGCGGCACTGTGTTCCCTCTCTGGCCCCTCCCGCACAGGCAGCACCACAGTCCAGCAAGGAGGGTCTCCTTGCCTGGGTGAATATCTAAGCCTCCCCCCATCCTCTTACAGCCTATCAGCTGCGCCAAGACAAAGAAATATGGCCCAAATGAAAGAACAGGGCAAAACCTCAGAAAGAGAACTAAGTGATGAGGAGATAGCCAACCTATCTGATGGAGAATTTAAAGCCCTGGTAATCAAAATGCTCACAGATCTGAATGAGCTTGGTCGAAAAATGAAAAAAAGAACAAATGAAAGATACCCCAAAGTGAAATAAAGGAAAATATTCAGGGAACCAACAGTAACAGGAAGGAAACCAGGACTCAAAGCAATGATTTGTAACAAGAGGAAAAAATAAACATCCAACCGGAACAGAATGAAGAAACAAGAATTCAGAAAAGTGAAGAGAGACTTACAAAACTCTGGGATAACCTGAAACATTCCAATATTCGAATTATGGGGGTCCCAGAAGGAGAAGAACAACAGCAAGAAACTGAAAACTTATTTGAACAAATAATGAAGGAAAACTTCCCCAATCTGGCAAAGGAAATAGACTTCCAGGAAGTCCATGAAGCCCAGAGAGTCCCAAAGAAGTTGGACCCAAAGAAGAACACACCAAGGCACATCATCATTAAGTTACCCAAGACTAAAGATAAAGAGAGAATCCTAAGAGAAGCAAGAGAAAAGGAGGCAGTTACCTACAAAGGTGTTCCCACAAGGCTGTCAGCTGATTTCTCAAAAGAGACCTTACAGACAAGAAGGGGCTGCAAAGAAGTATTCCAAGTCATGAAAGGCAAGGACCTACATCCAAGATCACTCTATCCAGCAAAGCTATCATTTAGAATGAAAGGACACATAAAGGGCTTCCCAGATAAGGTCAAGTTAAAGGAGTTCATCATCACCAAGCCATTATTATAGGAAATGTTAAAGGGACTTATTTAAGAAAAGAAGATCAAAACTATGAACAATAAAATGTCAGTAAATACGTATTTATCAACAACTGAATCTAAAAAACCAACTCAGCAAACAAGAAGAATAGAGATGGAATCGTGGATGTAGAGAGCATTTTGCTGGTTGCCAGGTGGGAAGGGGCTGTGGGAGAACAGATGAATAGGTGAGGGGATTAAGAGGTACTAGGAGGTAGTTACAGAATAACCATGGGACGTGAAGTACAGCATAGGAAGTGGAGTGGCCAGATAACTTGTACACATGACCCATGGACACAAACAGTGGTGTGAGATTGCCTGAGGGAGTGAGGGTGCTGGGTGGAGAGGAGCAAAGGGGGGAAATTCAGGACAACTGTAATAGCATAATCACTAAAATATGATTTAAAAAATAAAATATAATATAATTAAAAAATTGAGTCTGGGTAGTGAGTGCGCTATTTCCTGTGTATTTGTGTGTGCTCAAGAATATCTACAGTGAAAAGTTCTTAAAATAGCACCTTAATAGCTATGACAAAACATCCTCACTTTTCCCAATCTCTTAATTAATTACTTAATTTCTAAAGTTTAATTTCTAAAAAGAGTCTACCAAAAAAAAAAACCAACAAAAAGAATCTCTGGATTCACAGGGAGCTCGGAGTTCTTGTTGTACGGCTCTCTGTGGATGCCAGAACCCTGCCCAAATCCCTACACCCAGGTCACTGGCCTCCACTTGACGACCTTGACTATTACCTGCAATGGGGAGCTTTCTACCTGCTTTCCCACAGCCTCCAAAAATACCTGAATTTACCAGAATCAAAATCACACACCCCCAGCCACACACATGGTCACATACCACACACACTCACACACACAATAATGGGCTGGTCTGGAGACTCTTCAAGCCTCAACTTCTGAATCAAGGAACCATCATAAACACCTTCAAAGCCTCCACCTTCCACAAGGGCTTCCGAAAACCCAGTCTCCTTCCTTGGCCAGCCTCCACTTCCCAGGGTCCCTGAGCTCCACCCAAAACCTGTGTGGCCAGCCCCAGACAGACAGCCTGCAGCAGGGAGAAAAGAAACAGGAATAATAATTTGGATGCAAAACAGGTTGGGAGGGGCAGCTATTGAGGCCTAATGGGAGGGGCAGGAGTTTGGCAAGCTGAGGGTGAGGGAGGCTATGCCCAAAAGAGTCCAGAGCCCTGGGTGTCTGCAATGCCTGGGTGTCCACCGTCAAAGAAAGTTGCACCAAACAAAGTCAAAGAAGCACAGAAGACTTTATTCAAGACCATGTAATAGGGGAGAGTGAGTGAACTCAACTCCACAGAAACAAAAGGTGGAAAGGTTTTTAAGCTCTGGATGGGCAAGTGGAAGGAGGGATCTGGAGGATGACGAGAGGGAGCTTGGTCCACGGGATGTGTCCAGCGCACTGAGTCACTCTTGAGTTTGCAAATGTTTTTCTCCATGATTAGGCCATCTGGGCTTGCTAATTGTCACTTAGTCAAAGTCAGCTCCTACCTTCCTGCACAGCTGGGAGAAGGGATGCCATCTTCCTGGGTGATGACATTTCAAAGGGGTGGCACCCAGGTCACTGAGAAAGGCATTCCTGGGTGGTAAAACTGGCAAGAGGCAGGGAGATTTACCTACATTTCAAAGGGACAGGCATAGAATTTGCAATGACAAGTTTTCTGAAGTAAATGCTCTAAGAAAGGGAAAGCAGTGGGGAGCAGCATACTTACAGTGAGGAAAAAACATGTGTAAAATTTAGTCAAGCTCAGAGGACAGTTAAGGCTGTCCTGGTCACCGAGATTGTTGTCAACTCTGTCCTGTCCATCTGTGGATTTGTGGTTCTGGGTCTCTGCACATGCCTGGTGTCCCCTGCACAGCACAGAGTGGATGTGCCCCCAGCAGGCAGCTCCTCCCAGCGAGAGCAAGAGCAGCATCAGGAGGGCTGACCTGGTGTCTCTGCCCCAGCTCCCACTGCCTGCAGGGACATCCCATCTGGGTGTCCCCTTCGGCCCTGGGTCTGAGTGTCCCCGTGGGTCTGTCTGTGCCCTCCGGTTGTCTGCCCATCTCTATCTCATTCAGTTTTTGAAATTCATTCATTTACTAATCAAATAAACATTTATTAAGTGCCTTGTGTGGTCATGTCCTGTTCATTGAGGTGTCTGAGTGGGTCTCTGTGTCTACCTTTACATCCGTGCACACATGTGTAACTCTGGGACTCCTCTCTCTCTCTGTCACTCCCACCCTCCCTCTCTGCTTGTACGTTCATTGTTTCATTTATTCATACAACTTAGCAAACATCCCCTGAGGCCTCTGAGGAGGTCACAGCCTGATGGGAGAGACAGACGATAGCCCAATCCATGGTCAACATGGCTGGAAGACAAAGAGGTACTTGTTGCTGAGTAGGGGTGGGTGAGTGGGGATACAGGGGGTCCCAGAAGCTTCCAGGAAAACGTGATGTTTTTGTCTGTGGGTCTGGAGACATGGCCTCAGGACTGGAGCCTCTGTGTGTCTGAGTATGTGGGTCATGTGTGTTGGGGTGCAGGAAGAGAAGAGAGGCCACATGTGCCAACCTCAGACTACACCACAGTGTGGGAAACAGTGTAAAAAGAGAGCAAAATGCAGATTCCTCCAATATTTTTTTATTATTTTTATCATTTTAATGAGGAAGCCAAAGGATGGAGATAATTAATCTAAAGTCACAGAACTAGCAAAGAGTAGTCAAATATATGACCCACACAGTCTAACTCACAACCAACCACACAGTCAACATATAAACATAGGGCCAAATCGTATACATTTTAATATATTTAGAGAATAGGTTTCATTTTACTGAATTATTATTATTATTTTCCAGACTACAACAGAAAAAAACATTTTCTGAATTTAAAATCCTATTCAGAAGTCTGAAAGGCATTAAGCCACCATGTCAATGTCTTCTGAGTTGATTTTCAATTTTCCCAGCAATCTATGTTATCTGAGCACAACTCAAACCTAACTACTTCTTTTTTTTAGCACTTTTTAAAAACTTTTTAAAAATTTTTATTTAAATTGTTGTTGCAGTACAATTTTCTATCTTTTACTCCCATCCCAACCCACCCACCCACCCCTCCCCTCCTCCCTTCCATTTCCACCCACCCCTAATTTTTATCCATGTGTCCTTATACTCGTTCCTGTAAACCCTTCCCCTTTTCCCCTGAAATTCCCTCTCCTCTTCCCTCTGAACTCTGTCAGTCTGTTCTTTATTTCAGTGTCTTTGGTTATATTTTGCTTGTTTCTTTGTTTTGTTGTTTAGGTTCCTGTCAAAGGTGAGATAATATGGTATTTGTCTTTCACTGCCTGGCTTATTTCATTTAGCATAATACTTTCCAGTTGCATCAAAGCTGTTGCAAAGGATAGGAGCTCCTTCTTTCTTTCTGTTGCATAGAATTCCATTGTGTAAATGTACCATAGCTTTTTGATCCATTCATTTACTGATGGGCATCTAGGTTGCTTCCAACACTTGGCTATTGTAAATTGTGCTGCTGTGAACATTGGGATGCATAGGTTCTTTTGGATTGGTGTTTCAGTGTTCTTAGGATATAATCCTAGCAGTGGAATTGCTAGGTCAAAAGGCAGATCCATTTTTAGTTTTCTGAGAAAATTCCATACTGTTTTCCATAGTGGTTATACCAGTCTGCAATCCCACCAACAGTGCACTAGGGTCCCCTTTTCACCACAACCTCTCCAATCCTTGTTGTTTGTTGCTTTGTTTATGATGGCCATTCTGACTGGTGTAAAGTGGTATCTCATTGTGGTTTTAATTTGCATCTCTCTGAGATCCCTCCAATATTAAGGATTGTAAATCCCTAGCCACCTCCTCCTTCAGACCAGGAGTTCAGGCCCCCAACCCCTCCTTCCTCAGTGCCCAGGAGTCATCGTGGCCTCACCATTGAATATCTAGGAGGAGACCAGCCCTGGAGAGGGAGGGCGGGGGTGGAGGAATCCTGCCAAGCTGGGGCACTGGGATGCCTGGAGCTGGCCCAGACAACCAGCAGAGCAGACATCAGAGCAGAGGAGCTGTCCACGGTGTCTCTGCTCAGCTCCAGGACCTGCAATGGGAGTCCCCAGAGCCTTTCTGCTCTGCCTCTGCGGGGCTGCACTCTGCCTGACAGGTACGCAGACAGGAGTCCATTGACAGGAGGGGCCTGGTGGGGGCCTGGACTCCTGGGTCTGAGGGAGGAGGGGCTGGGGGCCTGCAGTCTTGGGTCTTGGTCATGGAGAGGTCTGGAGACTGTGTCCTTTTCACTTCTCTTCCTCTTCAGTTTCTCCATTTTCCCTCTTCCTGGTGCTTCAGCCTTTCTCATCCTCCTTACCCATGACCCCATTCAAGGGTACTTCTGGGGAGTGATGGGGGCTCTTTTCCAAGCTGTCAGGGAACCTTGTCTCATCCTCAGGCCCTCCCTTCTCCCAGTTTGGGTAAGAACAGGGACATACTCATTGGGACTGAAGTGGTCACAAAGACAAGGAGTTGGAGAGGTGGGAAATAGCTATATCTGTGCAAAACTTACGTGTATGCGCATCCATGAAAGATAAGCCTGAGTGTGTGTATGTGTGTCAGTGTGTCACTTTACCCTGTGGGTCCCTGTGCTTGTGTGTGTTTCTCTGTGTCAGGTTCTGATGTCTGGGTGCTAGAACAAATGCTTTTATGGGTGTTTATCCCTTAGCTTCACCTTTTTAATAAAAGAGATGCAGGTCTAACTTTGTACATCTGTGTCTCCTTTGTATTCGTGCATCTCCGTGATCAGTAGGCGCACACTTATCTCTGTGTGCATGCCTTGGGGTATTTTGATATGCATCTGTCACTGTGTGTACCTGTGTCTCATGTCTCCACATGTCTTGTATCTGTTTATGATTTTAAATGGTATGTTTTTGTGGGTCTTTCTTGTCTACCTCTAACTACACAACTGTGGTCTCTCTACTTGTGGGTCTGTGATACTCGGTCTGCACTTGTCTCTCTGCGGGTCTGACCCCTGTGCCCCTGGGTCTCCGTGTGGGGTTATTGGTCCCATACCCACACACTTTTCTCTGAATAGAATCTTGCATGTGTGAGGTGTTGTGCCTTGGTCTGAGGGGTTTCTATTGGAGGGTCTGAGTGCTAGTTGTTTTGCATGTAAATGGCCAGCAGCCTTCAGGATCCTGCGTGTCCATCTGTGAGATTCACATGAGCCTGTCAATTGTGTTCTTTTGCATTTATGTCCGTGTTTAAGTGCCCTGTGTGTGTATTGCTGGGGCTGGTTGTATCTGTGCCTTTCTAGTACAAGGTTGCACATCCTGCTGCCTGTACTGTAGTATCTGTTTTCCATCAGTGACCTTTAAGTGTTACTGATCTTCGTGAGTGTAGTCAGGATAGGGCTGGGCAGAGCAGGAGTGAATCACTTCCTCCTTATTTAAATCTCAGAGAGCTTCCTGGAAGAATCAAGACCTGGAATAATCTGGGGAAAAAAACTGGACTGGCAGGTGCACAGAGGCCATTACTCTGCCACCGGGTAAACAGCCATAACCAGTGGTGGCAGCAGACCCTGGTTGTCTCAAGGCAACAAGGCCTGTCTCCCCTCAGAGAACAGCCCGGGCAGTGTGACTGTCATATGCACATCCCTGGCCTGCTCCCCTCACCTCACCCCTGCTCCTCTCCTCAGAGTCCCAAGCCCTGCAGTGCTACAGCTTTCAGCACACCTACTTCGGGCCCTTTGACCTCAGTGGCATGAAACTTGCCAACATCTCCTGTCCCTCTGGATGCTCTGAGGCTGTCATGTCGCTGGACACTGGTGAGGAAGCAGGGGGAAAAAAGACACAGAGAGAGAAGTGTGAGCAGAAGATAAAGGGTGGAGGACAGGGGCCGGAGGAGAGATTAGGGAGGAAGGGGCAGGGCCGCCAGGTGAGGGGGGAATTGGGTAGGAGAGGGAGGGAAGAACAAGGAAGCAGTTGGGAGGTGGAGGAAAGGAAGGAAAAGACAGAGAAAGAAAAGGGTGGGCGAGGGCGTGGGGTGGGGAAGGAGGAGGAGGCAACAGGGACCCAGGAAGAGGAGGTGGGAGAGGAGGGAACGGAGGCATTGAAGAGGAAGATCAGGGGAGGCGAGGGGGAGGGCTGAGGGGTGGAGGTGGCCTGGAAAGTGGAGTTCGAGTGGGAGAGAGAGGAAGGGAAGGGCAGGAAGGAGAAGGAAAGTGAGAAAGAAGGATGGAGGAGGAGAGGAGAGGGGAGGGAGAGACTTGAGACTAGAGGGGGACAGGTGTAGAGCCGAGGTTAGAGGGAGAGGAGGGGTGGGAGAGCAGGAGGAAGGCGGGGGAGGAGGCAGAGCGCCAGGCCCATCCCCTCCCGCCCACAGGGTACCGCGCCTCGGTGACCATGGTACAGAAAGGCTGCTGGACGGGCCCGTCCACCGGAGAGATGCTGTCAAACGACTACGCGCTGCCGCCTGACTACTCGGTAGTGCGAGGCTGCACGACCGACTGGTGCAACGGTGACCTCATGTCCCACGACACCATCCCCAACCTGAGCCCAGGTGTGCCCGAGGGCTGGAATGGGCGTGGGCGGGCGGAGAGGGGACGGGAGAGGCGGGCGCCCGGGTGCGGCGCGCAACCTGCACTACCAACCGGAGAACCCTCACCCGAGTGTGAATCTACGCTCTCTTGCCAGCGCCCAACCCCCAGACGCTCAGCGGCGTCGAGTGCTACTCCTGCGTGGGGACCCGGCCAGAGGACTGCACCCCGGAGAAGTCCCGACGGGTCCAGTGTCACCAGGACCAAAGCGTCTGCTTTCTGGGCAATGGCCGAATGACCGTTGGTGAGGGGCTCGGAAGGGAGAAGGGCCCGGAGGCAGGGCAGGACTGAGGGTAGAGGCACCAGGCAGGCCGGACAGGGAGGCGTGGCCCTAAAGGAAGAGCTGTGGCTCTCCTTCGAGGGAGGGGCCACGGCCAGCTCTGGAAGGAGAGGGCGTAGCCTGGTCTGAGCGTCGAGGCACGACCCTGGACTGAGGGCAGAGGCGTGGCCCTAGCTCAAAGCGGGGAGACTGGAGGCAAGTGTGCGGACCCAGCCGTGGCCCTGGCCTCCTTCACGTCTGAGCCCTCCTCTCTGTCGTCCCCCTCTCTGTCGTCCCCCTCTCCAGGCAATTTCTCAGTCCCCGTGTACATCAGAACCTGCCACCGGCCCTCCTGCACCATCATGGGCACCACCAGCCCCTGGACAGACATCGACCTGAAGGGCTCCTGCTGTGAGGGGCACCTCTGCAACAGGGGCTCCATGACCCTGCCCTTCACTACCGCTTCGGCCGCCACCCCTCCCCCGGCACCCCACATTGCAGCCCTGCTCCTTGTGGTTCCCCTCCTGGTTGGCACACTGGGAGGATCCCTCTGCCTCTCCCCGTAGACAACCCCTCCGGCCTCTTCATGAGCAGGATGCTTGGGGCAGGGCACACCCCCGCCATCACTGCTTCAGCCCCCGTGATGTGGAAAGTGATGTCACACAAGAGGTGCATTCCTGTCTGTCTCTCCCTCCCACTTCCCTACGGCAACCCTGCCCTCACCTGCTCAGCAGACCTGGGAGAAATTGGGCAAGGTCCCCGGCATCCCAGGGTGGGGAGGTGCAGCCACCTCCTGCACCTGATGAAGAGCAAACCTGAGCACCAGCCAGGCCCCAGCACCCCATGACCTTGCTTCCTGTGCTCCCCACCCGCACCCCCGGGAGCCTAGGGCCAGCTCCAGCAGGGAACTACATGATGTCTTTGTTAGTGTCATCACTAGAGGCTGGAGAGGCAGTGTATCATTAAGTTAGGAGCCCAAACCCTGGAGCCATGCTGAATGGGTTTGAATCCCATCTCTACCTTTTAGCCTGCAGGGGACCTTGGGCAAGTTACTTAACCTCTCTGCACCTGTGTTTCCTCGCCTGTAAGGCGGAAGTGAAAATAAAACCTACAATAATGACAAAACCTACTTCCCAGTGGTTGTGGTCGGGACTCAATGGGCTGAATATGGAGTACCTGGGACGCAACAATCGCCCAGCATAGGTGGGCTGTTGTCACAATCCGCACTTGACAGATGAGAGAACAAGAGGTGTGGGCACTTGCTTGAGCTCATGTAGCTTGTGAGTGGACAGTCAGCAGTGTGACTCCCAGCCTTGTGAGCCATGCGGCTAGGCCACCTCCCAAACACCTGGGTGTTGATTAATGTGGCAGAAACACCCTTGAGGCAAAGCTGAACCAGGCAAAATCCTCCAGCCTGTGAAGATGGGAGAAGACTTCCTGGAGGAGGTAAATCTTAAACCCCTGAAGGATAAAAAGGCATTGGCAGATGCAAGCAGGAGGAAGGGTGTTCTAGGTGAAGGAGACGGCCTGGATGAAGATCTGGAGTAGGAAGGACCCCAGGGTGTGCAGGACACATATGTGAGCAGATGAACTTCATCCTCTTGTACACATGCTTTTCAAGGTTGTTTCACATCCTTCCCCCCAACTTGACCCAATGACCCAGTGAAGGGGAGTTACATCCCCGTTTTGCAGTCAAGTTACCTGAGACACAGAGAGAGAGAGAGAGAGAGACAGAGAGAGAGAGCGATTTCAGAGTGAGTGGCAGAGGAAGGAGGGGTCCCCATGCCTTCTCACTCCCCCTCAGGGGGAAGCCTTGCGGGGTGAGGCCATCTCAGAAACACTGCCATACTCCTACGAGGTCAGAAGAGAAGGACACTAGATGTCTCCACACCCTGATGTAGAAAGGGAACCTGAGTGTCATTACTCATGTAACATCACATTTATTGAGCACCTACTATATGCCAGGCACTGTTCTAGTTGATGGGCATACTGCACTGGACAAATCAGGCAAAAGTCCCAACCTTCCAGGAGCTGACCTTTCTAGCGGGAGCAGACTTGGATGTCACTGCACAGGAGGTTTAAAGCTCGGGTAGTCAGTCTGACCATCAACTTGGCCATTATTCATTCAAACGGTAATTTTGTTTTTGCTGCGAAGGTGCTCTGTAGATGTGATGAAAGGCTATGATAAGCTGACTTTAAACTCAGGAGATTATCCTACATCATCTAGCCGGGCCCCATTCAATCAGCTGACAGGCTGTAAGAGCAGAGCTGACATTTCCTGGAAAAGAAACCTGCTCACAAAGCAAGGTCAGCCTGTGCCTGGGACCTGCCCTTCCAGACGGCCTGCCCTGTGAGTAGGCAACTGGTCTGACCAGCCCCACAGTCACATGAGCCAATTCATTCTGCTGTTCTGGTTGATCCAAGACGGGTACAGAATCCATGAGGATTAGTAGCAGAGGGCCACCATGACTATATATATAAAATCATGGGTTATTGTATACAATATGTGTATATATAATATCCAATGCAATGTACATATTACATTATGTATTTATATAGTTTAATGCTCTATGTTATAATATACATAATTATATACATATATAATTAAGTATAACTTTTTCATCAAGATATAAAACACATACAGTAAAATGCATAAAGTGCGATTTTCCTGGGTGTATACATCCAAGTAACCACCGCCAGATCGAGATCCAGGACAGCTCCTGCCCCTGTCCCAAAGCCTCCATCCCAGCCCTTCAGAGGCACCGGAGGTAGCCATTGCTCTGACTCTTACCACGGATGAATGTTGCCTGTTTCTTTTTTAAAGATTTCATTTATTTACTGTTTTAGACAGAGAGGAAGGGAGGCAGAAAGAGAAGGAGAGAAACACCAATGTGTGGTTGCCTGTCACGTGCCCACAACCCAGGCATGTGCCCCAGACTGGGAATTGAACCAGCGACCCATTTGGTTCGCAGGCCAGGCCTCAATCCACTGAGCCATACCAGCTGGGGCAGAATGTTGCCTTTTTTGTGCTTCATATAAATGGAGTCCTGCACATGTCTTCCTGTGCACATGAAGAGAATTCCTGTGACAAGAACAGAAGCCAAGACCTCTAGGTGGCTACCACCCCAGTCCAGGCGTGTGATGATGGCAGAGGCCACAGGGGTAGTGAGAACAGTTGGAAACAGGATAGATTTTGATGGTGGAGCTAACGTGATACATTGGTGGAGGGCTGGGAGGGGAATTAAAAATAAGACAACTCCGAGGTTCTGGCCAGAGGAACAGGGTACATGGTGGTGCCGTTTACCAAAGAGAGGAACAGATGGAAGGGAGTGGGAATCAACAGTGGGTGATGGACATGTTGAGCCTGATTCAGGTTAAACTAAGAGTACTTTGGCTGGCACAGGTCCCTGGGTTCTAGACGTGGCCTCCTGCACTGCTGTGGAGCAGTAGCCTAGTCTCCCTGGGTGACTGAGATCAGTCACCCCAGCACTAGAGGAATCCCCTTCTTCCTGGTTCAGTGGTGGGAGGAGCCGAAAATAGCCACGTGGCTGACTGACCTTCCAGTTCACTGGAACCGTCACCGAGTCCTCTGAAGGGAACCCAGACCCTCAACCCAGCAGCACCTGAAGTCACGGGGGTGGGAAGCAAACATTCTGCACGTGGGTTTGGGTGTAACAGTGAGAGGAGCCCCTGCCACCCTTTGCCACACAGATCCATGCATGCGAATTGTGGGGGAGTTGGCACTGGAAGCACATGCCACATCCCGTGAGACAGGGCCCCATCCTCCGAGGGCGTCGGCAACACTGAGTCCCCCCACTGTTTTATCAGGCAGGCTTCTTCTGGTGGTGGGGCGTGAGGTAAGGCCAGTGGAAGACCTGGGCCCACGCCCATTGCCACACTGCTTTCACTGTGGTCAAAAGCAAGGCTGTGTGCAGCACGCAGTGGAGGAGAAGACATCCTGCAGCTCTGGGGAGGGGCTGGGTCGTGGTGGGAGCAGAAAGGAGAGCCCTCCACCCTCCAAGCTTCCCTTTACACACAGCAGGCCACTTCAGACAAGGATCTTGGAAATGCAGCTCAAAGCTGGTAGGGAACGGGCATTCCTAAACATGGATTTAGACTCATCGGTGTCCATCACTCACTGAGATGTCCCTGTGTTCCTGGCCAGGCACTGGACACTGGGGCCATGGAGGGGAGTCCCAGTCTGATAGGAGAGGCAGGTCCATGCTCAGCCAGCCTTGAGCCTACGGTGGAGGGATGTGCAGGGACAAGGGGAGCCAGTGCTGGGGAAGGGACACATTGGGGTTGGTACCCAAGGGAGGAGAACCTGGCGACAGACCATGAAGCATGTCAGATGGACAGAAAAGGGAACTGCATTCCAGGAAGAGGGAGCAGCTCATGCAAGCAGAGACACAGAGTCAGAAGTAATCTTGCTAGAGACTCAACCAACATTTGTAATTCAACCTTCCACGCTGGATGGTTCTGGAGAACCCTACCCCTGTGGAGTTCTAGGTTGGACAGGGGACACAGACTGGGGCACACAGCCCCAAGAGCAATCAGGGCAGGAAATAAAGAGGGTGTTTGTGCTGGAAGGGCTGGATGGTAGAGAAGAAACCTGTGGCTGGATGGCTGGGGCCCTGGGACACCAGGGGTCACTCCATAGAGGACAAAATGGGTGCCAGGTCCTGAAGGATGAGCAGGAGGTGTGTGCCAGCCCATGACAAGTTGTGAGGAAACATTTGTGAAGTGGCAGAGAGACAGCAGGACAGTGGCAGGGACAAGTGAGAGACAGAGCTGCAGGGAGGGACCTGTGGCAAACCTTCACAACCTGTTCTTCTCAGCTGGGTGAAGCCAGGGACCCGGTGATGGGTCGGACCCAGCCCTGCCCTCCTGGTCTGGAGAAAGACAACTGGAAACTCATAGTGAGTGAAGCCTGAAGTACGAGGGTCTAAGGCAGCTCCAAAGAGGAAGACTGGGGAAGGCGTCTGATGGGAATGAATCTCTGAAAAGACACCTTAATGACAAGTAGGACTTGGCAGAGGAGCAGAAAAGAGAGCATTCCAGGTAGGAAGGACAGTGTGCACAATGGATTGGTCTGTGTATAAAGTATGAGAGAGGAAGATGAGGGTGAAGAGGGTGGCAGGGCTCCTGGGAGTGAGGATAACATTTCCTGAATTTCCCCTTGCAGCCAATGGGGGGCTTAGAGCAAGGGAGAAGAGTGGTCAAAGCCAGAAGATGGAAGCTCTCCCTGAGGCTATGCAGGGGCCAGATGGTGGGAGGTTGGGGGGGGTGGGGTGCAGGGGGTGAGACTGAACGCAAGGAGACCAGGGAGAAATTGGTGATGGGATCTCTCATTCTTGGTCTCCAGGGTCAGGGGCTGCTTAGTGTTGAAGGGTTGGAGGGAGAAGGAAGGACAGAGAAACTGTGTGAGGGTTGGGGGTTAGGAGGGGTAAAGTTCCTTGTGAGTGAGGATAGGGGTTTCCTCTGGAGGCTGGGAAGGGCTTTGAGACCTGGAAGGTTCTAGGGAGTGGTAATACTCTCCTTAGGTGTGTTCACTATAAAATTATTTGTCCAAAATGTACCTCTATGTTTTATGCACTGTTTACAAGAATAGTGTGTTTCATACAAGGCAAATGGTGTCAGCAGCAAAGTCAAGGTTAAAGCCCAGGACTTTGGACTCCCATGTTGTGGCTCTTTAATCTTTGGTGATAGGGGTCTGGTTCACCAGTTGGGACAGGGGACCAGAGAACTGGCTGTGATGGTGGAGATGCTTTATACACGGGCAGGCCTGCATCAATCTGTACACTTAAGATTCGTGAGCTTAACAATGTGTAAGTCATACCTCAACACAAAGAAACAAAATTTAAAATACAACATGTAATTAAATGATACCATGTCTGGGATTTGCATTAAAATAACAGAGGAAGTGAGGAAGTGGGTGGAGACACAGATGAAATGCAATTAACCATGTGTTGGTACTTGTTAAGTGGGTACTTGTAAATGGAGGTTTATTATTCGCTTACTATTCTCTTCTGTTCGCTTCTGTATTTTGATGTTTTCCACGACAAAAGGGATAGATACATAGATAGGTAGAACAAATACCTACGGAACAGTG